AATGGTACAAAGACAACCAATCAAATGTTGAAACTGAGAAATTTTATTGTTTTTTGAAAAATATATGCCCATTTTGAATTTGATGCCAACAACACGATGCAAAAATGTTCGGACAGGGGCATGTTTACCTCTGTGTTTTATCACCTGTTCTTTTAACAACACTCTATAAGCATTTGGGAACAGAGGAGACCAACTGCTGTAGTTTTGAAAGTGAAAGGTTTTCCTATTTTTGCGTAACATAGGATTTCAGCTGCTCAACAGTTAAGGGTCTCCTTTGTCTTATTTTTCTTTCATAATGTACCTGATGTTTTCAATGTTGGAAAGTCTGGACTGCAGATTTAGCTGATGGCAAAGCACACAGGGCTGAAGGGAAAGTACAACTGGCTTACATTTGTATGAGGTTTGGACACCTACATCATGGCAGATGATAACCTAGCTTTTCCACATATTTGGTTCTGGATTTTTTACTCAAAACCCGAGTTCAACAGAAGGTGAACTTTCTTTCCATTCGTAAATTGCGCTCCAGGCAACCTGACCTGGCCACCATCAGAAGAACAGAGAAAGAATGTGAATTTGTATGTGACTAAGGCTCTTCTTTTACTCTTCTTCTATTTGGCTGCAGCTGGTAGATCTGAGGCCCATGAGGCACTCCTGAGAACCCATCCTCCAGAGATGCAAGAGCTGTTCCAGCCTGGCCTATGGTGTTTTCGGCAAAGATAGGAAGGGCCACAGTAATACAGCATTACACACATACATGTGATAAAATGCCAGTTCACTCCGGGGCATATCAGGTATCTCAACTGATGAGGAAGGTTGTTGAGAAACAGGTAAACAGATGCTTGAAGATAATGTCATAGAACGATCTCCATCTACCTGGGCCTCTCCTGTGGTGCTGACAGGTCTTATCACTTTTGTATTAATTACAAGAGGTTAAATGCTAAGACTCCTCAGGACACTTGCCTGATGCCAACAATTCATTACATCCTTGAGTCACTTCATTGAGCAGTGTGTTTTAGTACTTTGGAACTCCAGTCTGGCTACTGGCAGGTGGCTATGGATCCAAAGAACAAGGCCAAGGCCGCAGTCATCCATGGGACTTTACCAATTCAAGGCCATGCCTTTTGGGCTAAAAAATGCCACAGCAACATTCCAAAGCCTGATGGAAATGGTTCTCAAAACTGCATGCTGCAAATTTAACATTGAACCTGAAAAAGTTCTTCTTCAAGAAACACATTAGGTGTCTGGGATACATTGTCTTAGAAAAAGGGATGGAACTTGGCTCGGAAAAGACCATAGCAGTAACTTATTATCCCACCCCAAAAGATATCAAGTCCCTGCAATGGTTCTTGGGCCTAGTGGGGTCACAAATTCACACCTCATTCGCAGACCTCGCTGCTCCCTTAAACAACCTGAAGCAAAAAAGTTGTCAAGTGGGCATGGATAGGCGAATGCCAAAAGAGTTTGGATCAGCTGAAGTGGCCATGAAAACACCTTTGCCATTCCAGGTGCACACTGACACCAGTGATGTAGGGTTAGGAGCAGTTCTAATCCAACAAACTTCAAAAGGTGAGAGGGTAATAGCATATGCTTCCAGAATACTGAAGGAGCAGAACACAATTACTCCATGTTGAAAATAAAGGGGGTGCCTGATAATCATTTGGGCCATGGAGAAATGGCACCATTATCTGGAAGCGGGCAAGTCTAAGGTCTTCCCTCACTATCATGCTTTATCATGGGCACTCAGTTGTTCCAAGACTAGCTCTATGCTGACTTGCTGGACCCTGAGTCTGCAGCAGTTTATTTTAGAGGTTAATTATGAGAAAGGCTGCAGGGACATTGTGCCAGATACACTGTGTTGGGGAAAGTGGAGACTGAAAAATCCCAAGCCCACGTATATACCCACCCATCTTAACATATGCATGTCTGATCTGACAACCTCTCTGGCTGAGATTCCACATGCACAAAGCCAAGACCAGGAAGTCAGAAATATCTGTGCAAGGGAAACTAGCTCTGGCAAGCAGATGGGACATATTGGATGGAAGGTACTCTAGAGGGCTATACCAATTGAAGGGGTGAGCTTGAAATATCACTTGGCAGTACCCAGGGAACTGACCAATGTTTACCTCCACTACTTTCACAACAATCCTCTAATGGCACAAGACGCTGTTGCAGATTTTAGAGGCCTGGTGGCCTACACTCGGGAAGGATGTGTGGCAACATGTTTAACAGTGTGCAATCTGCCAACAGTACAAACCTAACAGTCAGAAATACCTTGTCTCAGACTGGTGCTCTCAGTTCACCAGTCAGCTCCTCACAGACCTCTGCAGTAATGGGGAGTCATACAGAAGATGAGCACCAGCTATCATCCCCAGACCAATCTCACAGAATGAGTTAATTGAACCCTGAAGACTACAATAGTCTCTTTTGTAGAGGAACATCATGAGGACTGGGATAAATGTTTTTTGGAGTTCCGGTTCACAATTAACAGCTCCCACCATGGGATCTGTGACACTGCCACATGAAAGGTGTTTTAAAGGAACTACATATTTAGCACATTAATGAAAAGAAAGGTTTTAAAGTTGATTCCTTGCACACAGAATTCCTTTTTTCTGTGTGCTAACATTTGAAATATGTGAGTTTTTCTATTTGCGATCACTTTTTTATAGTGGACCAGAATGAATTTGTTAGTTCAACTATCATCTAACTGTTCCTTTATATAACTCCTACTTCAAAAAAACTGGGATGCTGGGCAAAATGTAAATAAAAAAAAAAACAAAAAAACAATGTAATGATGCAAATCTCATAGACCCATATTTTATTCGCAGGAGAACATAGAACGCATGTCAGATGTTGAAAGTGAGACATTTTACCATTTCATGAAGAGAACTTGATGGCAGCAACGCATCTCAAAAAATTGGGACAGGGCCATGTCTACCAGTATTTAGCGTCCCCTCTTCTTTTAACAACAGTCTGTAAATGTCTGAGAAGTGAGGGGACCAATTGCTGGAGTTTTGGGAGAGGAATGTTGTCCTATTCTTGTCTGATTAGGGTTCTAGCTGCTCAACAGTCCTGGGTCTTCTTTGCCAGATTTTTCATTTCATTTTCATTATTTGCGCCAAATAATTTCTATTGCTGAAAGGTCTGGACTGCAGGCAGGCCAGTTCAGCACCCGGACTCTTCTTCTGTGAAGCCATGCTGTTGCGATGGATGCAGTATGTGGTTTAGCATTGTCTTGCTGAAATATGCAAGGCCTTCCCTGAAAGAGACGTTGTCTGGATTGGAGCACATGTTGTTCTAAAACCTCTATATACTGTTCAGCATTGATAGTGCCTTTCCAGATGTGAAAACTGCCCACACCACAGGCGCTAATGCAACCCCAAACCATCAGAAAAGCAGGCTTTTGAACTGTGCGCTGATAACAAGCTGGATGGTCCCTTTACTCTTGAGTCCGCAGGACACGGCATCCGTGGTTTCCAAAAAGAATTTTACATTTTAAATTATCTGAGCACAAAACAGTTTTCCACTTTGCCTCAGTCCATTTTAAACGAGCTAAGGCCCAGAGAAAATGGTGTCGTTTCTGGATTGTGTTGACACATGGCTTCTCTTTTGCATGATACAGCTTTAACTTGCATTTGTGGATTGCAGGGCAGACTGTGTTCACAAACAATGATTTCTGGAAGTGTTCCTGAGCCCATGCAGTGATTTCCAGTACAGAATCATGCCCGTTTTTATTGTAGTGCCACTTGAGGGCCGAAAGATCATGAGCATCCTATATAGACTGTCGGCCTTGTCTCTTATGTACAAAGATTTCTCCAGATTCTTTTGATGATATTATGTACTGTATATGGGGGGATATCCAAAGTTTTAGCAATTTTACATTGAGGAACATTTTTTTGAAGTTGTTCCACAATTTTTAGACGCAGTTTTCCGCAGATTGGTGAACGTCTGCCCATCTTTGCTTCTGAGAGACTCTCTAAAATGCTCTTTTTATACCCAGTCATGTGAGTTAATTGCAAATCACTCAGCCAGCTGTTTTTTATTAGTACCACTTACTTTTCCAGACTTTGTTGCATTGCTGCCATCAAGTTCTAAATGAGTTAATGTTTTTCATGAAATGGTAAAATGTCTCATGTTCAACATCTGATATATGTTCTATGTTCTATTGTGTATAAAATACGGATCTTTGAAATGCGCAAATATTTGCATTCTGTTTTTATTTACATTTATTTACATTTGTTTACTTCTTTGGAATTGGGTTTGTAAACCTTCCTGGTATGCAGGAACAGAGCTTCCGGAAAGGAACTGCAGGAGGAACATATCCTGGTCATCTGCTATGAGTCAAATGTGAATTCATTAGTATTTTGTTAACCTTTTCACAACCATTTAACATTATAATAACTGAAATTATTTAAACCACATATTTAATGTTGAAAGTCGGTCATGTGCCAGATGTGCCAATTGAGTAGGGGTGCCTAACAAGCAGCATTTTATTCAAATATTCTGAGTAGGCAGCATTTGCTATGTTTCAGACACAACCATCAAAATCCTGCATTCTGTACAAATTTTTCATTTATTATGCCATATCAGTTTTCAGAGAAGAATCCATTGCAGCATTTTTATTCACTGTATTGTATTGCAGTTTAATGTATTGGAAAGGAATACATTCCAATTTAGCATACAACTTTGTCTATAGAGACTATAGAGGAGGTGTGTTTTGAAGATGACAATCATTGATCAGCTATAAATGTGTTTGATCTCTCCTAAAATTCTGCAACAGATGCAAAAATTATTGTATCAAACCACTATAGATCAAATTTTAGTATCCGGTACTTGTTTTATATGCTTTCATTAGTATTACAGAGTACAATACTACTCTGACAGAGTCAGTCAATTGATTTATTATGTATGTTTTACATTTGCAAATATTTTTGTTTGCATTTGTGCTTTGTGTTCAACAATTATTTTTCTTGCATTTTGTATAAGACTAGTGTCTGCCTGACATGAATTCCTTGGTGTCCCCTGACAATGCAACATTTTTTCGCCTCCCTACATTTTACATAAGTGGATTGTACAACATGCCACATGCAAGGTATTACTATATATTTTTATGCTTTGTGTATGTTGTAACTGTTTTAGGGAATTCCTTTATAATGGGTACTATATACCTGGCACGCACTCTGCATACAGCTAAGTATATAGCTGTCTTCAACTTGGCCTTGTCTGATCTGGGTGGTAGCTCTGCAATTATTCCAAAGTATGCATACATGTTTTTGCTTGAGAACCAGTACATGTCTTATGAAGAATGTCTGGCAAGCATGTTTTTTGTGTTTCTGTTCATGGCTGTGCAGTCTCTTACTCTGCTTGCTTTGTCCTTTGACAGAGTAATTGCTATATGTTTTCCTCTGAGGTATCATGCTATTGTCACCAAAAGCATAATGACTCTCATCATTGGTGTTATGTGGGCTTTCTCTGTGACTATTATTGCTTTCACTGTAGCTTTGATTACCAGACTGTCCTTCTGTAGATCTACCACAGTTGACAGTTATTTTTGTGATCATGGCCCTGTCTTCAAACTAGCCTGTAATGATAATTCTCTTAATTTCAAAATGGCCTTTGTTTATATTGCTATTGTGCTTTGCCTTCCATTGATACTAATAACTGTCTCATATGTTTGCATTGGTTTAGCATTGCTTAAGATCTCACATGGTGCTGAGCGAATTAAAGCTATGAAAACCTGCACTTCCCATCTCATACTAGTTGCTCTGTTTTATCTACCAGTTTTTAGCATTTACATGTCTACTTTTACAACATATCTACATCCAAATACTAGAATAATCAACACTGTCCTAACACAAACAATTCCACCTATGTTAAACCCCATCATATATACTCTAAAGACAGAGGAGGTATTGCATTCTGTTAAAGTACTCTACAAGCGAATCAAGGTGAACTTTGCAATTGAAGATCCTGTGAAAAGCATAGCAAAGAACTGAACGATATAATAAATCATATAATAACTGTAGTTTGGCCTATTTTCATGAAATAAAAAATGTAAAAGGCTCAAATGCCTTTTTAAGATTACCACTGATTGCTTTTTTATTATCATTTATAGGCCCATGGTTGTAGTTTAATGTACTGTTAGTTAACGGATTTGCATAAAGCTAGAACATTTATTTAGTTAGCATTCATATATATGTATGTATATTTGAATTAAAAGCTTTTGGATGAATATTTATAAACTTTAAGTTTACACATAAAATATAGACTTCTAAGTCCACAAATGTTGTAGAAACAAGTATTTTGAACTCATGTGGTTGTGCTTCAAGTTTCACATTTACAGGTGCACATTCCAGTGAAGTTTTTTTCCATCAGTTTTAAATCTTTCTTTTTCTTTTTACTAAAAATGACTGGTAGATGTCAGCCATGTTTTTAATACAATTTTTGGACTCATGCACAGCAAACAACAATTGTAAAACTGAAGTACATTTTTAGCATTTTATCACTATCCAGAGGCTGATTCAAGTCAAATATGCTTTGTCAGATTGTTATTGTGAACAAACATTTCAAGTTTGAACCCAGTGAGACAATGCATGTTTCAGTTATACCCAGCCTGTTTGAATAAACCATGCCTTTAATGTTCAATTAATATGTTGTAGCAAAAATGTTAAAATGTTTTTATTAATTATTTACCTATTGACTCTACAGACTGTATTAAGACCAATTTTGAGGTGATTGGATGAACATCCTTAGACTAGTTGAAAAAATGCTGTTTTCAAATAACCTAACAATGAGGAATACAATTCATTTTATGAAAGGTTGCTAGGGTCGCTGCAGAGTATGATATAGATCCGGTTTCACAACTCCACAAGTGAATGTCGGAATGAGATACACTTTATTTTAGTGTTGGAAATATTAGTACAAAACAGTGTGGCCAATGTTTTTTAACCTTACTGGTTATTAGAAAGTGCTGACTAGAACATACCTTTCAAATTTCATGTCCATGACAACCCTGTCAAATGCCTGCAGAAAGCTGATAGGCCAAAGGTAGTCACATTTTTCCACATATCAAGTCATCTGTATGTATTCCGTCTTAGCTCAAAGATACAGCATGCAAAATGAGGCCCAAGAAGGTCTTATGTGGCAGGATTGGGCCATAGGAAAATGCCTCTACGCCTTCCTTTTTTTGGGTTTCAATTGCTGTTATCACATATACAAACAGTTGAAACACAAGTGGAAGTATAAGATAACCACTAAATTTATAACACATTGGTGTCAGATGTAAAAACAAGTCTTAATTTCAAGTAAATTTCTTTATATGATTCTCACAGTTCATGACAGGATTCAACCAAAACCAGAATACCAGGCAAAAGAAGGTAAAAAACAGAGGTGACTAGAAAATACAATAGACTAGAAACTATTAGGATTTGGCAAAACAAGTACTAAGAAACCAAGCAGTGGGGAACCCAGGAGCCCTAGTTTTTTAAGGTCTCCTATTCATTTTATGAAAGTAAAAATACATTCCTGTATTTTTTTCATTGTAATGAATATAAACATCTTATATTTAAACTCTGCAAGTATTGTATTAATAATGTAATGATTGACTCAGAGAGGCAGGACACAGGTGCACAGCAAGGAAGATCTTTAATGCATGATCTGGAGTTTAGGAGGTGTTGATGGGGGCATGACAGTACCCCTCCTAACCTGTGGCTCCAGCTCCAGTGGATGGCCCCAAGGCTAAGGAGCAAGACAAAGCACAGGAAGTGGAGCTCTGAAGGGCTGCATTAGCCAGGACACCAGGGATCACTGACCTGAGAAGAGAAACATGTAGCGAGAAACTGCATTTGATAGGGCTCGTCTTTTTCCTTGTGGGCCTTTGCTTTCAGTGGCATACTGTGTGCCTATTAATGCTAGACCTTCAGTTAGGGAAATAAACTAACTGTCAAATGAGAAAAACCCACTTTTGTGATAAAGCTAATTTCTGGTCTATTAAAGCTGGTAAACATGAACATAATTAAAGTAAGTAAGCAATAAGTCCATTCTAGACTGAATAGAGACACTGTTGACCAGCTTACATTTGGAAGCAACATGAATGGTGATATATCTGCCATAAATTTTCATTCTTGAATCTGCTTCCTTTTTTGGCATGTTTGAATGTTTTTTTCCGACAGTACTAGAACCTGGCAGGCGCAAGTTGCTCCTAAAATGAGGAGGTCAGTGTAAACACATACAAGCCCTCTAGTCTATAATGCAGTTTACCGAACATCGCGTGGGGTTGGAGGCACCACGATTGTGTCATTTTTGGCATGCGCACCCTCGCTCCACCTACAACGTATCAAGTAGCTGTACTCACTCACCATAGTGGCTCTGATGCTAGCTTCAATGACAAGAAAATGTCTGATTTAACATTTCTTCTTCTGGAAATGCTCTTTTCTAGTTTGGTAATGTGCTCTTCCACACATTAACTGAGATCTTACACATCTCCTTCTTCATCTTTGGTTTGAGACATGAGTACTAATTCACTTTGGAGAGGGGGAGGAGAGAGTGCAAACAACCTTCCTCGGGGGGTATGGTGCCCGGAAGAAGGTTGCTAACACAGTCAAACTACCTATGTGGTTGTAGGATTTGAGCCTTCTTCTTACTGAACACCTCTTGCAGGTCCCAGTAGACCTCGGAGACGTGGGAGAGGTCAGGCTCAACTGGGTCTCGAGGTGTTAGGGGCTCAGACATGGGCTCTGAAAGCCCCAGGCAAGTCCCCAGGACACCCCATGCATACACCATTGAGTGCACCAGTCGATGCGTGGGTTGTGTCGCTCAAGCCAGTGGTACCCTAAAACTAACTGGAGATGTGGAGCCTGGGTGATGAACAGCTCTATTTGTTCAGTGTGGGGGCCTACCTGTAATGTAAGGGGATGCGTGCGGTATGTAACCTGGCCAGAGCCCAGTGACTGCCCATTGATGGCAAGAATGGGTAAGGGACTAATAGCCCAAGGGCTGAGGCAAGCGAGGAGTTGCTAAAGCTCCCTACTGCCCCAGAGTCCACAAAAGCCCGCAGCTTGGTGTTGGTGGGGACCCGATGAAGGGTGACGTCCAAGTCAAGCCCAGAAGTAATGGGGTAAATTTGTCCTGCGTTCAGTTCCCCTGGCCTGCGTAGGCCTTTGCGTTGGGAAGTGCCCGTGTGACAGAAGGTGTCCTAAGGAGACCTGCGAGCCCATGCAGTTGCATACGTTCGGCTCCTCCCCATGACACAGTGGCCTAGCAGGAAGGTTGCACCATCCAGAGTGGGAAGCAGGACCTCCCACCCACTTTCCGCAGCCGAAGTCGATGACATAATCTGTCACCGAACAGGAGTCTTGAGAGAGATCAAGAAGGCAGGATGTCACATCCCTACCCCTGGCTGGGTTGTAAAAGGTTTGGCACATGGCTTTTGCAAATACCACTGCACCACAGGGGCTACAGGAAAAGAGGTGGAGAAGCCGCTGTGCTAGGTGGTGGAAAAAAAAAATTGCAGGACTGGCACATAAAAGAGATGCTTAAGACCAGATTGCTCAAACAAAGAAACTTCTATAAAAAGGGAAACTAGAAAGAACACAAAATCACCCTCAAACTCAAGAGGGCATAAGGGTGAGTCCAGCTCACCAACCTGCCTTTATGCAGCGTTCCATAGGTGCAACCAGTCAGCACTGATTTTTGCTTGGGCTTCTGGAAGTTAGAGTTCTGGCAGCTGCGCCTAGCAGCTTTCCTGGCATGATGCCCAGGCCCCCTAGTGGTGGCTGGCATTGTAGACTCACCCCTTGCTTATCTGAAAAAGAAAACTAGCTGTTTTAAAAGTATTTTTATTTTTGTCACAAATGACTCATGCTTATGTGAAAAATTTTACTGCAAATGTAGGTTTATCATTTTCAATTTTGGCAGATGTTTGGAAAAAGAAATGGCAAAAAGAGATCTGCATTTACAATTTATTGTTTTAATTATGTTTTTTTGGCCATATTTGCCTTCCATAGACCTAACACCTGGCAAAAATAACAGCTTTTGGTCTAATCCCTGTGAAAATGATTGTGACCTTTAAGTAATAAATCGGATTTTGTCAGAAACCACATGCCTTGTTGTCTGTCAGAATGAAGACTACAGTGACCATTGCTCATTAGCAATAGAACCTTTTGTTAAAACAAAAAAATGTGTTCAGAAACCAGTCTCTCCCTGTTTAGACATTTTTTCTGTTATATTGCCTTAAATAGCTACATATGTGGCTTATATCCATGCTGCCTTCAAACATCATCCAAATACAGCTGCCTGGCAGGCAGTATTTTATGTATACATTAAATTCAGACAGACTGGGTGCTTTCCTGCCTCCGAACGCTGCTGGAGTAGGAAGCATGAGTTACGTTGTCGGACATAGCCATCAAAATCCCACAATCTGTCCTGAGTTATTATTTATTATACTGGTTTGATTACTATAAGAGAATATCAGTATCACTTTCAGAGTGTTAGAGAATACATTATTGCCCTTTTAAAATCACCATTAATGTATAACAGTACAGCATTCAACCTTGCCTACAGAGATTTGTGTTGTTTTTTGGAGGTGTGCTTTTGAGGATGACGTAAACATAGGTCAGTTATAAATGTGTTTGATCTGTCCTGAAATTCTGCTGCTAAAGGTTTTGTCGTGCTGCAAAAGGTACTGTATTAAACCATTACAGTTCAGTTATTTTTCAAAATTTTGTTCTCTTAATTCAGATGTAGTTTTACAGAAGTTGTCATTTGCTATTAATTTATTATGCCAGTGTTACAAATTCTCTTAATAATTTTTTTTCTGCATTTACATTTTGATGATTTCTAGTGTGATGAACTGCTTGAAGGATCTATAACAATTCTATCTTGCATTTTATTTAAGAACAGTCTTCTCCTGACATGAATTCCATCGTGCCCCTTGACAATGCAACATTAATTCGCCCCCCTGGATTTTATATCAGTGGACTGTCCAACATGCCACATG